GAGTAGCACCGACATATATACACTACCAAACGTAAGGTAGATAGCTAGTGGGAAGCAGCCGCATAGCACAAGGAGATCAGCTCGTGCTTTGTGACCGCCCGGAGGGGTGGGATAGGGAGGGTGGGAGGGAGACCGCAAGAGGGAGGGGATATGAGGATATATGTATACGTAGAGCTGATTCACTTTGTTATACAGCAGAAACTAACACACCATTGTAAAGCAATCATACTCCAATAAAGATGTTAAAAAAAAAAAAAAGCAAGTCCAGTTTTATCTTCCTTAGGAAACAGATTTTCCTGAAATCACTTCTATCCACACACCTGAAGGTAGGAATCCCATTAACTCTTTATCTGGCCCCTAAATACCATATCATATCAAAATACCAGTTACAAAATTAAAAACCTGTTTTCTTTAAGATTCTACGCTTCCAAGTTCTGACCTGGCTTTCCCTAATGGACTGTGACCTCTGGTCTGCAGCTTCAACTTGTACTAAACCTTCCCCACTTAGGAATTCCACAAAATTTGTCTGTTTTAGTCTAGAATAGGCTGCAGAACCCATGGTCCTACTGTCCTTGTTTCTAGGGAACACACTGATGTCTTTAGGGGTGAAGGGGCATCACATCTGCAGCTTCCTCTCACACAGTTCAGAAAGAAAGTAATATGTATACAGTTGGCGTTTTGTATCCGTCGGTTCCACAGTCTCGAATTCAACCAACAACAGATCAAAAATATTGAAAAAGGAAAAAAAAATTGCAGAATGTTCCAAAAAGCAAAACTTGAATTTGCCAGCTCCTGGCAACTATCAACTATTTACAAAGCATTTACTTAGGTATTATAAATAATCTAGACATGATTTAACATACAAGGGAGGATGTGGAAGGTTGTATGCACATACTACATCATTTTATAAAAGGGACCTGAGCATCCTCAGATTTTGGTATCCACAGGGGAATGGGGGGGGTGGTTGGAATCAATCCCCTGCAGATACCAAGGGACAACTGTATACATATTTAAAGAGAAAGACAAGAATCTAGTAATGTGGGCTTCCCTGGTGGCGCAGTGGTTAAGAATCCACCCGCCAATGCAGGAGCACGGGTTCGAGCCCTGCTCTGGGAAGATCCCGCATGCCACGGAGCAACTAAGCCCATGCGCCACAACTACTGAGCCTGCACTTTACAGCCCATGAGCCACAACTACTGAGCCTGCGAGCCACAACTACTGAGCCCACATGCCACAGCTACTGAAGCCCAGGTGCCTAGAGCCCATGCTCTGCAGCAAGAAAAGCCACCCAATGAGAAGCCCAGGCACCTCAACGAAGAGTAGCCCCAGCTCGCCGTTTACCCACGCGCAGCAACAAAGACCCAACGCAGCCAAAAATAAAAATAAATAAATAAATTTATATTAAAAAAATAGAATCAAGTAATGCAGTAATCGTAACATTTCGATCATCTGGATGAAGGATATGCAAGAATCCTTTGTGCTCTTCTTGCGATTTGCCTGAAAGTCTGAAATTAAGTCAAAATCAAAGTTAAAAGAGGGACTTCCCTGGTAGTGCAGTGGTTAAGAATCCGCCTGCCAATGCACGGGAGACGGGTTCGTTCCCTGGTACGGGAAGATCCCCCATGCCGCGGAGCAACTAAGCCCGTGTGCCACGTGTACTGAGCCCGCACACCCTAGAGCCCGTGCGCTGCAACTAGAGAAAGCCCACAAGCAGTAATGAAGACCCAACACAGCCAAAAAAAAAAAAAAAAGTTAAAGAAAAATTACCTGAAGAGCATTGTGGGCTTTAAAGGAAATAATATCTATGGGAAAAATGCTCTATAAATTATAAAGTGCTACATAAACGTTTTTAAACTGGAAAATTACATCAATGAAATTCATTTGATGTAATTTAAAAAATTAAAATTAGAAAAAATTTTAAAGTTTCAGTGGCTTAAGAAAACACATATTTGTAACAGAGCAGTAGGGCTTTATGGGGCCTTTCCGGACGGACCCCTCCCCCATATCCTCTGCTTTAGCTCCTCTCTGAAGTACCTAGATAATAGTATCTGATGCACATTTCCTGAGTTGTTTCACAGATGCTAAAACCCCCACCAAATGGAAGAAATTAACTACTTGATGACCATGAGCACGTAGCCCCCAGACCTACTGGCACCTAAGGATTAATACTGTTAACCCCTGTGACACCACCCTGTTACCTCACCATCAACAAATCAGAATTGTGCATGAGCTGATCACATACCCTGGGATGCACCCCACCCCCCAAACCTTGCCTTTAAAAATATTTCGCTGAAATCCATCCTGCTTGGTGCCCTTCAACAAACACTGTACTTTCCTTCACCACAATCCAGTGTCTGTAGATTGGCTTTACTGCGCGTGGGCGAACGAACCCAACTTTGGTTCAGTAACATTTATTTCTTGCTCCTTCAAAGCCTTCTACATGCCCACGCCCTCCAAGTGCAGCTGTTCTCCATCTCAGGCATTCAAGCTGCTTGGAGCTAATGTTCCACCACCTCAAATGAGGCCCAGGGGTCACCTTAGCAAGAGAAGGGAGCTTGTGAGCTGCTGCCCTTGCTTTTCTGTGCATTGGTAAGGATGTCACAAATCTCCTTCCATTCAGGGCCAGAACAAATGACACAGCCCCGCCTACCTGTAAGGGGGGCAGTAAATGTAGGGACTTCCAGGCCATAATCGTGGAGCATTCCTGTCTCTGCTCCAGTATTCCTCGAGTTCCCATTTTCTGCTGAACCCTTGTATTTCTCAATATATGTGGGAAAGGAAAAGGAGAAGAAAGGTATATATCTTACTTTATTCCTTCATTTCTCTTCTAATCACCTCGCAATGCTCCAACTTGGACTCCCTACCTGACCCCCAGTCAAATAGAGCAGGAAGCATCGCCTCCTTTAGGGATGGCCCAGATCAGGCCACCCCTGTTCAGAAATGTAGTGGCTTACACTTGTCAAAACAGAAAACAATGCTCTCCATCGCGTGTATAATAGACGTGGGGTCTTGACTGGACAACAAATGAAGACAGCATTGAGAATAAAGACAGGCAAAGAGTAAACAATAAGCGTGTAAGAATTTCCCAAATGCACAAATACTGACGAACACCCACTCTACATACACCTGGACTCTTCACATTTAATATTCGCAACAGCTTGTTTACACCCAGCCAAGTTCCAGCCACCTTGGAACAGACAAATTTTGGAGGTCACAGTACAGCACAAAAGGTGTGTGTGAGGCCAGAGCAACAGCCATCTCCGCTGCGACCACAGAATGTAGATAACAACCCACCGCCCCATTTAAAGAAACAAAAACCACAAGTGCAGAGCACAGGGCTAACAGCATCAAACACCCAGACAGATGGGGGAGAATGAGGCTCCAGGGAGAGAAGAGAGTGATCTTAAAGCAGGGCAGTAAATGAAGAAAGCACAGGGCTGCTTGGGTTTTACTGATTTCTGCACGGAGAGAAAGGCAATTAAGCAGCTCTTCAGGGAGAATCGAGTTACAAGGGTCCCCGAGCTCACTGGTAACTCATCCCACCTTCACGGTAACATTTCTTACCCGTAGTCACAGAATAAGGACAGTTCTACTCCTCCCACCACAAACCTTGAAAATCTGGCACCAGAGTAACGCCCCTGTTTCCTCTAGTCACAGCCCTAAGCCTTGGAGTGCGCTTCCCAGAGCTTAGCTCTTCCATCATCTCCTGGGCCACCTCCTGAAGCAAAGTCGTGTGATAACACACCCAGCACACACCTAAGGCAAGTCTTATTTCTTGCCTTCTTCCTTCCTTCCTTCCCTCCCTCTTTCCTCCCTACTCTCCTTCCTTCAACAAATTACTTACCAAGATCCTAACGTGTGGCCAGGCACAATCTCCTTAATTTAGAAAATGAGACTTTACAACGTGCAATTTAAAAGTAAGAAGCACCTGTTCCCAGGTAGACAGCTAGAAATACATGCAGAGAGACAGAATCCAGCTCCGGCTGGATATTTCTGCCCACCCACCTGAGGAGAAAGAAAAAATCCAGGTTTTTTTTCATTGCCCATCCTGGGTAGAATTGTGGGCATGAAAGCAGCATATGCCCACAGGGGTAGATACATAAAAAACGTCCTACCTCCAATACCTGCCAAGCACCTGGAGTAAAGCTTTAAAAGTTCATTCCTGGGCTTCCCAGGTGGCACAGTGGTTAAGAATCCGCCTGCCAAGGCAGGGACCATGGGTTTGAGCCCTGGTCCGGGAAAATGCCACATGCCGTGGAGCAACTAAGCCCGCAAGCCACAACTATTGAGCCCACGTGCCACAACTGCTGAAGCCCGCGCACCTAGAGCCCGTGCTCCACAACAAGAGAAGCCACCGCAGTGAGCAGCCCGGACACTGCAACGAAGAGTAGCCCCCGCTCACCGCAACTAGAGAAAGCCCGCGCGCAGCAACGAAGACCCAACGCAACCAGAAATAAAAAATAAATACATTAAAAAACAAAAACTGATTTAAAGAAAAACAAAGTTCATTCCTATTTAGAACCTAAAGAAAGGTGAATTCTGCTTAACTGCTCCCTGCCTCTCCCCACATCACTTTTGAGCGTGTTTCTTCTCTCTGGACCTGGAGCTCTGACGAGGGCCGGGCCCACTTCTCCTGCTTCGCATTTCCCCAGGCCCTATACTGATGTGGAAGGCACACAACATTTGTTTATCTTATTGCGTTATCCTCATTGCCTGCTGCACTCCATCGTGACTACTCCACTCCGTTCAAACAAACCAGCACCTCATTTCACGCATGAAACCTGCATCCATGTTTGGGGCTCCATAATCTCCAAAACAACAACAAGCAAAACAAAGCCATCTCACCCCAAATCATTACCTCTCTCTTTCAGAAAGAACTGTGAATAGAATATAGCTGTCATTTTTGAATGCTTCAAATAGTCATTATAATTATATATAAACACACCCCATATAATAAAAAACAATAGGTAACTTTGGTTTTAATAATGATCGCCACTCACAGTTGTCTTTGTCTATGGCTTGGTCCACTGTGTTGCAGGTCCCAGGAGTGAAGGAAGCAGGCTTGTCCAGCCACAAGGGGACAAACTGGGGTTTCGCTATCTCCTTGGTGTCCTCAAGAAGCCCACGGAAGTTTTCTGGCGATGGTTTCTGGGTTTGGGCAGCCATACATTTACACGTTGGGAAGCATGTTGGTTGGATTCGGAGCTGCAGAGGTGTGAGCTGCGCCCCTTCCTGTGGAGCCATATGCCCTGGCTTTTCCTGCCAGCACAGACTGGAAAGACCGTCTACATCTTTTCCCCTATGTGAGTGCCAGTAATTCAGTCCGGGTCCTTCCAGCCTTTTCCCACTCTTTTCTCTTCTCTCCTTCCTCTACTTCCTCCCACAAATTTCTACGTAAGAGAAAAATCATCCGGTGTTCCTGAGAAAATAGGGAAAACCACGGGCTTCCGGAGGCCTCCCCACTGCTCGGCCTCCGGCTGCAGACAGCTCCGCACTCAGCCGCCTCTCCCCTTCTAGGAAGAGGTTCTTTTTAGTTCATGGGGTGAATCAATAGAATTTTGAAATCCCCTCTCCCCCAAAATCATCTTGTAGCAGGTTGATTCAACGAGCCGGAGTCAGCAAGGGACCCTGAAAAGCGATTTTCTCTCACCCCATCATTGCCTTTGGTTTTACAGCCTAAAAGTTCTTTTTCCAGCCTCGAGCAACCTTCCAGGTAGAGCCCGTGGCTTTCCAGACAAGTCAGGAATTAAAACAGCATAACCTTCAGTTAAAAACAAAAAAAAATCAGTTCTATTGTAATCAAAACCATTATCTTCCACATAATTTAAAGTCCGTCCTCCCTCCAGCTAGGCCTGAGCTACACAGCCGCTCCGCCCCACGGACGGGGGAAGAGCTGGGTGAGATCTCTTCATCAACCTCGTTTCCCACTAGCTCAGGCACCTCCCATTCCTGGGAGGAGCCAGGGAAGAAGGAAGTTGAGTCAGCCCTCGGTATCCCCAGGTTCCTTATCCGCAGATTCAAGCAACTACAGGTGCTACAGGTGGAAAATATTCGGGGAAAAAATTTCCAGAAACTTCCAAAAACTAAAACTTGAATTTGCTGGGCACCAGGGAACTATTTACAAAGTATTTACGTTGTTTTACTCTGCCATTCTGTATAAGGACTTGGGAATCTGAAGATATCCTGGGGGCGTGGGGCAGGCAGGTGTGCGAGGATCCTGAAAACAATCACCTGCAGATACCAAGGGAGGACTGCAGAAAGCACGGAATATTACTTAACTAGTGCTGGTGCCATCTGGCTACTCCATGCCCAAATACTGACTGTCATTGGCAGAAAATACCTTCCCCAAAGCTGTCCACATTCTAATCTGTGAATACATTACCTTCCATTGAACAAGGGACTTTGTGGATGTGATGAAGTTTAGGACCTTCAGATGGGAACGATTGGCCTGGATTATCCAGGTGGGCCCAATGTAATCCCAAGTGTCTTTATAACAGGGAGGCAGGAGTGTCAGAGTCTGAGAAGGAGGTGTGATGGTGGAAGCAGACGTCAGGTGATGTCATTGCTGACTGGGAGCTGGGAGCTGAGGAAGGAGGGCAGCCTCAAAGAGTTGGAAAGTTCAAGGACAGAAATTCTCCACTTGAGCTCCCAGAAGAAACACAAGCCTGCTAGCACCCTGATCTTAGCCCCCTGAGACCCATGTTAGACTTCTGACCTCCAGAGCTATGAGATCATGAATGTGCATTGTTTTAAACCACAAGTTTTTGGTAATCTATCAGAGCAGCAATAAGGAACTAATATGCTGACTCATGGAGAACTTTCCAGACTCCCACAGTGGGTATCTTTGGCATGTACTGTATGGCCAGGCTGCTCAAGGTGGCTGTTCTCTTGTTCTCTGTACATCCCCTACTCGACCAGCGCCTGCTTCACCTACACCTACTCACACGACTGACCTTGCCCCTCTGCTAGTTTCCCTGGTAACGGATGAGCCAATCTGACATCAATTCCCCCTTAACTAGCAATCTCTCCCCCTCCATGGCCACCCCCCTACCTCTACCACCCCCACCCTGGAGGGACGACTGCCACCTTGTCCGGCCTGCGGTCCACCGCACACGGTGGGGTGTGGCTCCAGGACCTTGCCTCCAACATGTAAGATCCCCCATCCATTAAACCACTGACGTCTCTGTTGCTGACTCCGGGCTCTTTCTTCGGTCTTAAAGCTGGGCATGTGTACAGGCCTTGTAGGCCTTCAGGGTACAACACAACACGTACCTTTCTTGAAAGCACTGCTTCTCAACCAGGGGCAATGTTTGCCCCCCACCCCCAGCGGGTATTTGATAAAGTCTGGAAACATTTTAAATTACATTAACTGGTGCAGGGGGAGGGGGGCAGTGATTTCTAGTGGGTGGAGGCCAGAGATACAGCTGACCATCCAACAATGCACAGGACAGACTCCTACAACAATTATTAGGTCCAAAACGTCAGTAGTGTCAAGGCTGAAAAATCCTGATCTAAAGCAAGCAATGAACTCTTTGGCTTCTTAGAAATCTCTCTCCTGTCCAACAGACGGCCCACCCCCAAGAGGGTCCTTTCAAAATAACTTGAGATTGATTCACTTCTACCACCTGTGCCTGAGGGGAGGGTAATGAGCCTTCTTGGCTCACCAAACATCCCCAATTCATGCAGCCCCTACTGAAGGATCCTCTCTTTTGTAGGTTAGAGGTGGGAGGTTGTATGGCTCTTGTCATAACTGACGCCATTTTGGTTCCATACAGTTGCTCCAGTCCTTACGCTGACCCTACCCAGGGCTGTGTGGCATATCACTTCCCTGTCATCAAGGGCTTTGTAGTTAATAGAACATTTTTCTTTTTTTTTTGCAGTACACGGGCCTCTCACTGCCATGGCCTCTCCCGTTGTGGAGCACAGGCTCCAGACACGCAGGCTCAGCGGCCATGGCCCACGGGCCCAGCCGCTCCGCGGCATGTGGGATCTTCCCGGACCGCGGCACGAACCCGTGTCCCCTGCATCGGCAGGTGGACCCTCAACCACTGCGCCACCAGGGAAGCCCTAATAGACATTTTTTAATAATCATTAAGACCAAGTGGCCTTTATGCTCTGTTAGTCCCCCAACAATGAAGAACTGCGCTGATGTGTTCCCAACTCCCAAAGACTAGTTACCCATTCATAAACCTTGACTTAGGAATGCACATCCTGCTTCTTTCCAAGCACGTACCCCCATACCCTCTTATAGGTTAACTATAAAGTTGTCCCAGTGGCCCCTCAGGGTTGTAGAGTGCAGCTTCTAATGCTTCTGGATTGTTGTCTACTGGTCATACACTGTGAGTAAGTCACCCTATAAGAAACTGATCCAGGGCGTCCCTGGTGGCGCAGTGCTTGAGGGTCCACCTGCCGATGCAGGGGACACGGGTTCGTGCCGCGGTCCGGGAAGATCCCACATGCCGCGGAGCGGCTGGGCCCGTGAGCCATGGCCGCGGAGCAACGGGAGGGGCCACAGCAGTGAGAAGCCCGCGTAGAGCAAAAAGAAAAAAAAAAGAAAAAAGAAACTGATCCACTGATTTTATGGAGCTGCCTGCCTTGTTTTTCTGTCTCAAGGGGGAGCAGATACAGGGATATATGTATATGTATAGCTGATTCAATTTGTTATAAAGCAGAAACTAACACACTATTGTAAAGCAATTATACTCCAATAAAGATGTTAAAAAAAAAAAGATAACTTCTCAGTTGGTGAGCACTTTTCATTCCCTCCATCCTCCAACAGAGATGAATTAAGAATTCTCTCCAGATTATGTGGCCACTTATCACCAATTATATTCCACTTGAATGGTTTAGAAAACATTCAAGAGCCTCATTTAACATCCTGTTAACACACCTTCCTTAAGACAATTAAGGCATTGTTAGAGTTTAGAGATTTTCCTGTTAACTGATTCTGCAGGGAAGCATTGTAAGCAAACATTTCCATGAAATGACGATGATTTTCATTTCCTGAATGTGTCTTTCACACAAATTTGTAGAATTGGAATGGGTAGAGACACACTCTAATATTGTATGTATCAGAGAAAGGACATATACAAACGAAGGAAAAGAGTATAGAGAGCATGGCGGGGTCTGTGTGCTTCATCTAGTCATTCATGAATTCAACAAATATTCTACTCAAACATGACCTTTCCATCAAAACTCTCCCTGACCAGTGTTTAAAATAACCCACTTACCACCCTATGCCCACTTTCCATCCTCTCACCCTTCTTCTTTCTTTTTTTAATTGAGATGTAACCGCATGCCATAAAATTCACTCTTCTAAGTGTATAATTCAGTGGGTTTTAGTATATTTACAATATTTGTGCAACAAATCACTGCTGTCTAATTCTGGAACATTTTCATCACCCCAGTAAGAAACCCTGTTTCTTTAGCAATTATTCCCCATTTCCCCTCCCTAGTCCCTGTCAATCACCAATCTACTTTCTATCTCTATGAATTGGCCTATGCTGGGCATTTCATATGAATGGAATCAGCCTTTTGTTTCTGGATTCTTTTACTTAGCATAATGCTTTCAGGATTTATCCCTGTTGTAGTATACATCTCTACTTCATTCCTTTTTCATGGTTGAATAATATTTCTTTGAAAGGATATACCACATTTTAAAAAATTTCTCAGACAATTTGGGTTGTTTTCTCTTCTTCACTGTCATGAATAATGCTGTTACATACGTTCACATTCAATTTTTGTGTAGACATATGTTTTCAATTGTCTTGTCCTACCTAGGAGTATAATTTCTGAATCATATGGTAACTCAATGTTTAACTTTTTGAAGGACTGCTGAACTGTTTTCCAAAGTGGTTGCACCATTTTACATTCACACCAGCAAGGTATGAGGGTTCCAATTTCTCCACATCCTTGTCAACACTTGTAATTGTCTTTTATTTTTGCCATCCGAATGGATGTGAAATGGTAGCTCATTGTGGTTTGGATTTGCATTTCCCTAATGACTAATAGGGCTGAGTGCTCTTTTTCACGTACTTATTGGCCACTTGTATATTTTCTTTGGAAAAAATATCTTCAAATCCTTTGCCTGTTTCCTTTTTTGAAGTACAGTTGATTTACCATGTTGTGCTAATCTCTGCTGCACAGCAAAGTGACTCAGCTTTACACATTCATTTCTAATATTCTTTACCATTATGGTAAAGAGACTGGATATAACTCCCTGTGCTATATGGTAGGACCTTGTTTATCCATCCTAAATGTAATAGTTTGCCTTTGCCTGTTTTTTAATTGAGCTGTCTTTTTATTGCTGAGGCTGTAAGAGTTCTTTATATATTCTGGGTCCTAGACTCATCATATATATGATTTGCAAGTATTTCCTCCCATTATGTGGGGTGTCTTTTCACTTTCTGGATAGTGTCCTTTGAAGCATGAAGCTTTAAATTTTGACACTCCAATATTCGAAAATTTTCTTTCATTGCTTGCACTTTATATGTCATATCTAGTAAACCTTTGTGTAATCCAAGATCACAAACATTTACACTTATATTTTCCTGTAAGAATTCAATAATTTTAGCTCTTACATTTAAGTCTTTGACCGATTTTGAGTTAATTTTTGTACATAGTATGAGATAGAAATCTAACTTCATTCTTTTGCATGAGGATCTTCAGTTGTTCCATCATTTTTGAAAAGACTATTCTCCCCCCATTAAGCAGTTTCGGCACCCTTGTTGAAAATCAATTCTTTATTTTCTTTATGGTGCTTATCACCATCTGAAATTATATCATCTGCCCTTCTCAAACTCCCT